ATAACGTTGATTATCGTATTAGATCTGTTGTCCAAGTCTGACAGTCAGGTATAACAGTATTATTTATACAAATTGCATTGCCGAAACAGCGACCAGAACATAATGCAACATTTGAATACTGACATCTGCCATCAGTTGTCCAGTCAGAAGAGACATGGCGGAATATCCAGCCACATCAGCTATTTCATATATACCATACAAAACCGTTCTATGCTCACACGAATCTACTGACCATGTCACAACAGCCGAGAACAAAGGTGCCCAGGTCAACGCCAAAGTACTTGTTCCGATCCACAACCATGTGATATTTATTTCTGATTATGGACACTAGTAGTCCAAAAACTGTGCAAATATTCATCAGGTCAGACTGCGTAATGATATAGGTACTGAATATACCAAACAATTGTCCTATCATTAAACAGGCACTAAAATAATAATGATATATTTGTCATCCTGTTTTGTGCTTGCATGAAGACTGCAATGAATGCCAAATGTCGGCACGAATTCACCGTATACATAAATCATAGTCCCACAAAGCGAAGTGTAAAGAATCTCTATGACATAAAGAATATGATATCAAATATTCTAAATTGGATCACCTTGTTCTCCTTCAGTTGATTCTCTTTCAGGATAATTTGCTCTTGGAACGCATGTTGTGAGAGTAAATAACATACAACAATAAGAAATTGTAACATAGTTCATCTTGGAACTGGTCACTGCTGTTAGGGGCGATAAATGACATATTCCCATGGTGACGGCTCGATTGGGTAAAGTTGCTATTTTCAAGAAGGTTGAATTTGTCGCTTAGAAAAAACGAGATGATCAGTGGTCCTGCAAAGTCTCCGGCTGACGTTGATAGGTTGATGATATGAATAGATGCAGCATTGACGATGTTCAGTTCCCCCATCTGGGAAGTTGTTGCTGTAAATAAATATATTGTATAAGATACATACAATTGATATGTAGTGAGTGAAATGAGTGAGTGAGTGAGTTTAGTTTCACGCCGCTTTTAGCAATACTGCATCTGTAACACGACGGAGTAAACCACAAATGGGTTTCACACATTTTACCCATATGGGGAATCGAACCCAGGTCTTCGGCGTGAGAATCGAACGCTTTAACCTCTAAGCTACCCCATCGCACCTGATATGTAGTTAACACTGAAGGATGCAATTAGGCATACACATATCCTGGATAAATACTGGAACTATTGTCCAGAAATATATTAAGGTATATCATTGAACTTCAAAGAATGTCTCTTATCTAAATGATCCATGTGATATATCAAGTACATTGTAAGCCCAAAATGGTTAAGGGAAATTCTCTCTTGCTAATTGAATAAAGCGAGTAATATAAGACAAGAATGTATGGAGGTCAACGTCTTTACTTTGAGAGACAAGACGTTGACTGGTAATGGCAATAGGTCAATAGAAAACAGGGATTAAACCAGGCATGAATGGTGAGATACCAATGGTAGCATGTTGAAGTGAAGCCATTAGTTATTATTATATTTTACAGATTAAAGACAGTATGCAGCAGAGAGGGCTCGGGTGATCCTGGCACAGTCAAGCTAGTAAGGCCCATCATCAGCTCAGCGCCCTTGCGCCCTCTACACGCAGCCCAGACAGCGAATGGAACTTCTCCCAGGAAACGCTGCCTAGTCGAACCTACCAAGAACTTTCCGGAGAATATGAAGGCTGCACCCACAGTGTCAGAAGGTCTGTGCTCCCGATGGAGAATCCGGGCACTCTCCTGATCTGCGCTAAGAGATGAGGAGGTACCAAACCAAGGGCACCGAGAACAATGGGGAGTCTGACGACAGTGCACTTGGGATGCAAGCGAGACATTTCAAAGGCGAGGTCCGCATATTTATCATGCTTTTCCTGAATCTGAAATTCAATGATATAAATAAATTCATTGGCTTAATCAAAAAGGACAAGATCAGGTTTGTTGGCAGGAATTCTTCTGAGGCGGTTTATGGGCCTATTCCACAGACGTTTGAAAGCATCATTTTCCATGACGCCCTGAGTCAAAGCCACAGACATGGCGGAGACGGTAGTAAAAGCAACGAGCCATGCCATCATGTCTTTTAAGATATGCTGTTTGTGCTAAAGAAGGGCATCCACTGACAAGGTGTTGGACAGCCTCTGTAAATTCATTATTATTATTATTGTTGTTGAATATTTATATAGCGCACATATCCACGCACTAGTGCATGCTCAAGGCGCTGGTATTTTTTCCCTCGATCATTGCATGTCTCAACGGCACATCTTATTATGAACCTCAGCTCCCTGGAGAGCATACGACTCTTGTTGCCACAAGGCGCACCGAGTTATTGCGGCTTCCCCATCCTTACGAGGTACCCATTCACAGCTGGGTGGACTGGGGCACATAGTCACAGTACTTTGTCCAAGTTTACTGCACGTTGCTGTACCCGCAACTAGGTGTTTGCACGTATTCATGTGACCACCATCTGGTCATATACCAACGGATTCGTTGGGTTCTTTTAAGTGCACATGGTTGTGTACTGTACACTAGTTAATGGTGCTGATAGGTAACGACAATAAACAAATATAAGCCCGGAATTAACCCTGGCATAAATAGTCCTGTAGGTGATACGCACGATGAGATGGGGGCCAACGGGTTATATCCTAAACATATGTTGTGCGAGACTGAAAAGGAAAGTAATGCATCTAGCTGGGTAAAGGTCAAAACACTTACCATGAGAAAACATTCCTGTAGCCATTCCCGCTACTCAAAAACACACAAGCACCATCGAGCAAGTGGGTAGGACAGGTACAAAAGCCCACAGACAACAAGTCGTAGTCAGAGTGGTTGCGATGACTGCATAGTCGCAAATACAGTCACGAATTTTGAAATATAGTAGGGACCCGATAACCGTCCCTGCGGAAAGTCTGGGGAAAATAAGAGTAACCGTATGTAGTGAGACATTGAAGATGCATTGTAGATCACGAAGTGCAGGTCTCAGAGAACTGTCCAGCATATTCTGAGGAGAAACACAAAAATCAGAAAATGGGTAACATTTTCTACCTATCCAATAGCAGAATTATGTTTCATAATGTCTCCCTACCTTTGTTTGTTTTCTTTTTTACACAGCCTCGTGACACATTGTCCTTCCTAAATCAACTTAAATGATTTTTTCTTATCACTTGTTCTGTTTTGTTATCTAACTTAAATTACCCTACCCTTGTTATATTCGTCCTAACACAGCCTCATGACACATTGTTAAACTTAAATATTTGATTTGCGATTGTTACTAGTCATAGCTCTGTTACGCATTACTTCCATACAGGCGATGATTATGGTGTTGTCGCTTTTATAGTATGTTAGGTCTGTCTTGGTCTGTGTGATATTCCTCACCTCAGCGACTTGTTTAACTAACTTGTTAAATCGCGTTAATCGCCAGACAAATGTCTGTTATCTTCCTCGTTCTATTTGTGGAGGTCTAGCAAATTATTAACTCATTTCCGTTAATATTAATTCCAGCTTTTTATAATTTTGGAAACAGTGTCCGTATAATTTAGAGTGAGTGAGCTTCGGCGTGACGAGCAAATGCTTTAACCACTAGTATACCCCACCGCCCCATATAATTGAGAAGTTACAGTAATTGCAAATGGATGTATTTATCTGTCACAGTTCCTAAAGGAACAAACGATGTTTGTACAGAATTAAAAGATGTTAAAGAAAGCTATCCATTGATAGTAAACTGGATGATTCATACTCACATCCAACAATGACACCATACACAGGAATCCAATGTGAAAACGATCTTGTGCCGGTATTTCCATCCTGACTGAGGTCCTGCTGTGTAGACGATTGAGTCAGTGTATTTTTCACAGTTTATTTGCATCATCTGTGGTAATACCATTATTTCTCTCAGCCATTGCACGAGTGTATGTGTTAATCATTTTCAACATTTATTATGTGCATTAGGTATTGCGAGTATGGTATTGGTCTATAATATAATTCAACACAATGGCTGATGTTGCAGCAAATACAGCTTTAAACACATCTGTGACACCTCTTCTAATACCTGGTAGCCTAATAGTTAAAGAGTTCGCTCATCACGCCGAAGACCCGGGTTCGATTCCCAACATGGGTACAATGTGTGAAGCCCATGTCTGGTGTCCCCCGCCGTTATATTGCTGGAATACTGGTAAAAGTGGCGTAAAACCGTACTCACAGACTCACTCCTTATATATATTTCATGAACGATTCATCAACCTTTGTTAATGATCATGTACTTAGTCTACAGGTGCCTGTTTTAGACACATGGTAGATTTAAACACCGCCAGTGATAGTCTGGCTATGTTACATTCCTTTGATGACTGGATTTTCTAACAACATGTATTTACTGAAATACTGCCCACGACACTCACTCAGAAAGCACAACACTTGCTTTGCTGTTGGTTGGTTGGTTAGTTGTTGTTTTACGCCGCACTCCAGCAATATTCCGGCTATATGGCGGCGGTCTGTAAATAATCGAGTCTGGACCTGACAATCCAGAGATCAACAGCATCAGCATCGATCTACATAACTAGGATATGTTGACGTGTGGCAACCAAGTCAGCGAGCCTGACCACCCGATCCCGTTAGTCGCCTTTTACCACAAGCACGAGTTGCTGAAGATCAATTCTAACCCGATAAGTGTTGACGTGAACAAACATAAGAACTGCACCCGATATAATTTTGGTCACCGTACGCGTCACATAACGTCTGAACCAAAAGATTCTGACTCACTTTCAAGTGCAGAAAGAGCACGACAGACATCGGAGGTTGGAACTGCTTCAAATCTGTGTGAGATAATGTGACAAAAATGTCGGAAAGATGAAAGCTTCCATGCTGTCATATTGGAGGCACTTTGACTCTAACTATTTATGCTCAGATCCATTGTCTGGGACAGTCATTGTATACGTTGCTGAAGATACATTCCAACAAGGTTCTTCTCGGGTCAGTAGCAAAAGAAAAACAACTTACACTTATTGGCCAGTAAATTTATCTGAGGGTAAAGAGCATGTTTTCTAAATGTTCTTTCTTAGATGTTAACACAGTTCCTGTACACTGACATTGTCCATTGTTTCTCTGAATCATTGTATTTGGCCATTGTCCATTTTCTGGCACAGTCATTTTGTTTGGTCATTGTCTATTTTCTACCACAGTCATTGTATATGATCTTTTTCCAGTGTCAAGCACAGTCCTTGAATATGGCCATTGTCTAGCACAGTCATGGTATACGGCCGTTGTCTTGCACACTTGTCAGTTATTGTATATGACCTTTGTCCATTGTCCAGCACTGTCATTCCATATCCTCTACAGAGTAAGATTAGCTTCCACTCCCTGGGGTTGCCTGTTTACCTCGTTTAACCGTCAGATACAATAAAACGATCAGTAAAAGCTGTAGCAGTGATACAGCCGTCATAATGTAGTTTAGCATTTGGACAAATGCACAGGCCATCAGTTGCCCAGTCAGAAGAGACATGGCAGAATATCCCACCATATCGGCTGTCGATGATATCCCATACAAGATATGTCTGTGCTCATTTTCACCAAGAGCCCATGTCTCAACAGCCGAGAACACAGGAGCACATACTATTGCTAAAACACTTGTCCCTATCCATAAACATGCTGTATTTATTTCTGATACATAAATGAGCATGCTAGATAAGAGCATGCCGCCAGCGGTGCAGATATTGATAAGAACAGTTTGTGTAACAACTTGGCTACTAAAAACACCAAGCAACTGACCAACTATTGCGCATGCGTAAAAAGATAATGATATGTTTGTCACCAGTCTGGTGCTGCTATATAAACTGCAGTAAATTCCGAAAGTTGGTAAAAACTGACCATATACAAAGATCATCGGGGCACAGACAGTCGTGTATATCGTCATAATAATTATCACTATGACATCAAACTTGTTATAGGGGTGAGCTTTGATAGTTTGGTATTTTTTTACGTGACTGTCGTTTATGCGAATTCGTTCATGAAGCAGCTGTACTGAGATTAGATAACCAGCAAAAACGATTATTCCTAGACTTGCGATGAAAAAGAATCCATACACTACATTCGATCTGAAATGGTTGCATACTTCGTCTTTGCTGTTCTGTGAGACAAATGTATCATTATGATTTCGAGGCATAGGAGCACTGATGGTGCTGTGTTCAAGATGGTAGTCATTGTCACTTAGAAAAAAAGAAATGATCAACGGTCCGGTGAATTCTCCGATGTAGATAGCGAGGCTGTTGATATGGATGGAAGCCGCATGTCTTTTGCTCATCTCTCCGGACAAGACCATCATTGCTGCAAAAGAAAGTATGTTGTAAATTTTCTTTACCATTAACCCATATATTTTGGCAAGATGAAATAAAGAGGTCAGAGTAGTAGTAGTAGTAGTAGTAGTAGTAGTAGTAGTAGTAGTAGTAGTAGTAGTAGTAGTGGCTTCGGCATATTTAGCAAAGGTGCTGTGCTGCTGTTGTGCACACATTTAGAACCACTGATGGCGAGAATCAATATTCTCGCATGACGATGACTTGTTAACATGCTCTGGGGCCGTGGGATATGCCAGTGGTTGAAGCGTTCACGCCGAAGACCCGCGTTCGATTCCCCACATCAGTACAATGTGTGAAACCCATGTCTGATATTCACTGTCGTGATATTGCTGGAATATTGCTAAAAGTGGCGTAAAACTAAACATACTCATTCACTTACCATGCACTGCGATTCCGGTGACCAGTCCTACCCCACCTGCCACCACTAGCGCCATCCACAGAGAAGGAACAACGGGTACAACAGCCAACAGACAGCAAGCCGTGGTCATGGTTGTGGCTGTAAGGCCGTACAGGTCGAAGTGACCACGGATCCTGAAGAACAGCAGGGATCCAATCACCCTACCTGCTGCAATAACTGGAGGCAACAGACTGACTTGCTGTAATGTGACTTTGTAGATGCATTGTAGGTCTCGAAGTGCCGGTCCAAATCCACTATCAAGCATGCCCTGTGGATAAACAAAAGAGATATTATTGACGTGTGATTCAAATCTTAATAAACAAGCATTGATTATTCGAATTGCTTTGTATTATAGTCAAAGTGGTTCGACTGTGAGATTTGTTGTTAATCTCTGAACTCACCGAGATATTCCCTCAGCATGACGACTGTTTATGATTAACCATTTATAGCCCAGAAAACCCAGTGCTTGTTTGTTTGTTTGTTTGATGTTTCACGCCGCACTCAACAATGTACTGCGGCTGTCTTTAAATTATCGAGTCTGGACCAGTGGTCGACAGGAAAAACGTCGATCTACGCAACGGGATACGATGACCAACTCAGTTAGCCTGACCACCTGATGCCGTCAGTCACCTCTTTCGACAAGCGCGGGTTGCTGAAGACCACTTCTAACCCGGTTCTTTAAGGTCTTGGCAATAGGAGGACGTAGACGTTCTCAATGGCATACTTCTATGGTATACTACTGGAATAAAGTAACTGAGCATTATTTGATGTTTTGCCATTTTGTAATGCAAACAGATAATGACATGATTTGTGGTGTTTTCCTTAAACACTGTTTAACTGATGACAGGGTAATATCGAAATATGATGATCTGCAACAAGGCATCGCGACACGCCCTTGAAGAGATGTGGTGGCAAAAGAGAGTTCACAAATTCAGTATCGTGTGTGTCAACGATTGGCCTTGATGCAGCCTTGACAACGACGACACATAGACAACACTAAACGCTTGAAGAAAGCTTGGAGAATGTCTGAACCAACACTTGTCCCAATTGAACTTAAGGGGTAAAAAAACATGCCAAAAGTAAGTAAGTTCATCGTGAACAAAGTGCACGTGCAAAATGCTTTGCTAAATGTTTATATGCGGTAATTTTTATAACTTTTCAAAGAACTTTTTTAATGCAATTTTATGATAAGCTCAGTTACTTCTTCCGTTAGTATATATTTGTATTCGAGTAAAGCGTGTCTAAAACCTACTTTACATGCACACCTTTACTCCTGTAGTATATTTACTTTCTGTTCACTAGGATATTTAACCGATAAGAGTAAATCTGATTTGGATACAACCCAGACATCTGGTTTTGAAGAATTTTGGTCTTTTAATCTTCAGACACAAAATGAGTAGGCTGATGATTTCAACTTGCTGAGTGAGGCATTAAACAACAAACCATCCAACGACATTGCCGTGGAATGGGCATGTTTGCAGTTGCAGCAGGTTTAGTGTCCAGAACATGAATTATGTATATATATACATATACACACATCTATATATATATATGTGTACTTACATCCCACAGCGCTATCAAACACAGGAATCCTAGCCGTATGTGCAGTGTTACCATCCTGCTGGAGGTTTGTGTTAATGTGGCAATATGATGCACACACCACATATATATTTAACTAATTTGACTCATCGCCCAGCAGGGATGCCGACATTTGCATTTCCTGAGCGTCCATGTTAATTGCCAGTCTGCATGTGACGCGTTAACGTCATGTAAATCAATATTACTTACTATTCCCATTATGAACCATCCACGTGGATCTGTAACTTATCTCCAATATGAACATTGAATTAGTTTTTTTTTAAAACCATAATTCGTTTTTCTGTACAGTACCTGACAAAGTTGATGTTGACGTTTTTAGCGTGGTCGTCAAACGTCTTACTTTGTATCTTGAAATATTCCAATGGTTGTGTAGCATGTCTGTCTGTGGCTGCGTGTTCTATTCAGAACTTCTGTTTGTTTCATGCATACTGGCATCGTGACCTTCCTATGATATCTGACCTCGCTTTCGCTCGGTCAGAAACCATAGGAAGGACACTCGTTTCGTATAATTCGTATGTAATGAGACTTCGTGTAGTATTCTCTATTTATCTACCACCGTTTTAAATCGTAGTGTATTTATGCAGATTTGAAATAAATGGCTAACCTTGCGTACAGTCGCTAACAGCTAAAGGGATTGTTTTAATACAGCTGGGAGACCGAGCAGGGAGCAGAATATTGTCAGTCCCCACGGTCCCTTGTATGGGGGCCGTTTGAACTTTGGCTGCTAGCGACCTCTTAACCTTTTTGTTGTTAATTGCCTGTTGACTATTCTACATGCTCTCAAACGTGTCAAACGACAGGATTTTATATCGCTTGAAAATAATTGTAAAATTTTCTCTCGTCACGATATGGCTCAAATATTGCTAACGTAAGCGTAAATCTTTAATCAGTCACTAACTAATGTCTATGGATAATATGTACGATATTCCTAAGTTTAGTTTAGTTAACCGGACTCTAATAGTGATAAGTAATGAAGAAATTTGCCGGAACCAAAGAATAGTGTTTACTTATCCGGTCTGTTTAGTTAAGCGGTTTTTACTTTGGCGGTTTCACTGTATTTCGTTATGACACGGCTAGATTTGATCCACCTGTCTGCTGGATAAGTTAGCCTAGAGTAATCGATGTTTTAAAATACCTGAAGACAAAAACTATGTGTTTGGATAATATGTACGATATTCGTAAGTTTAGTTTAGTTAACCGGACTCTTATGGTCATAATTAATGTAGAAATGTGCCGAGATCAAAGAAAAGTGTGTACTTATCCGGTCTGTTTAGTTAAGCGGTCTTTACTTGGCGGTTTCCACTGTATTTCGTTATGACACGGCTAGATTTGATCCACCTGTCTGCTGGATAAGTTAGCCTAGAGTAATCGATGTTTAAAAATACCTAAAGACAAAAACTATGTGTATGGATAATATGTACGATATTCGTAAGTTTAGTTTAGTTAACCGGACTCTTATGGTCATAATTAATATAGAAATGTGCCGAGATCAAAGAAAAGTGTGTACTTATCCGGTCTGTTTAGTTAAGCGGTCTTTACTTGGCGGTTTCCACTGTATTTCGTTATGACACGGCTAGGTTTGATCCACCTGTCCGCTGGATAGGTTGGCCTAGAGTAATCGATGTTTTAAAATACCTGAAGACAAAAACTATGTGTATGGATAATATGAACGATATGTTTAAGTCTTTCGTTATGATATGGCTAGGTTTGATCCACCTGTCCACTGGATAGGTTGGCCTACAGCAATCGATGTTTTAAAACACCTGAAGACAAAAACCATCAAGAAGGACACATACTGTGTCACCAGGTGTTGCTGTATCATTACTAGTTAATTACCTTCAGTCACATAACCCGGATGGAGTGACAAACCATGTGTTGCTTTATCATTTCTAGTTAATTAGCTTCAGTCACATAACCCGGATGGAGTGACGAATCCAATTAGAGTACACACTGATCCGTAACTATGACAATGGTAATTCATCATTGACTATGACGATATTTTGATCATATATTTTAAATTGTTTTCAAGACCGATGTTTCCAACCAGTTTGAATTTCCAACGGTAACTCTCGCATTTAAAGGTATGTTTTTGGTTAATTTCCTTTAAAAACAATCTAGGGGCGGTGGGGTAGCCTAATGGTTAAAGCGTTGGCTCGTCACGCCGAAGACCCGGGTTCGAATCCCCACATGGGCACAATGTGTGAAGCCCATTTCTGGTGTCCCCCGCCGTGATGTTGCTGGAATATTGCTAAAAGCGGCGTAAAACCAAACTCAGTCAGTCAGTCAGTTAAAAACAATCTGCTCCAATTTGTTATTTCTAACCATAGTTATTCTTAATGTTCCATTTAATTGTGACTATATTCATTACAGAAAAGGGTTAGAACCCTATCGTTTACATTGTGAACATATAGTACTCCATGCTTGATTACATCTTGTTACAGTGTAACAGGTGAATAGGATCTTAACTAACATATTGTGTAGCAAAACTTTACTCACATAAAGACTTAATTCATAGATATAATATATATATATATTATTTAGTCGTGTTCTTCCAAGTTAATCCTTTAAAGACTTACCCTGATACGATGTGGTGAAAGCACAAAGTACTGTTCTGTAGATTGCCAAGAGTCCTATGCCAGAGGGCAGTGGCTCATAGACCAATCTAGTTGGACATATTATCTTTTCAAGAAATTTTTCTGCTTCAGTATAACACTCCTAGTATATATCTTGGTATCCTGGAGATTCACAGACATAAGACATCGTCCTTGTTGACACTCCATGGTGAGTGGGGAGCAACACATGGAGGGCAAATCATATTCAATACAACCACGATACACCCACAAAAACCGGATCGCACCAGTCTCAGTCGTTCTCGTCGGAGGATAAAGCTCCTACAGTTTTCATCAGCCCTGACAATTAAGTTCTTTTTCTTGTCCGCTGCGGATAGTGGTCCTCTTAGATTGAAGCCTTTCACCATAGCAGAGGTTATTGAAGGTTTAGCCTTCGAAGTAAAGGGAGTTAACAATCTACGAATTGGTTGTCCACTGTTCTAATGCTAAGAAAGGATAACAATATATGGAAGAACAACTTCATTATTGCTGTGAGAGCGACGTTTCGGTGTAGGTTCTAACACCATTATCAAGCAAGTGATGAACAATTATCAATTAACACGAAAACTAGTTTTAAGTTGCCTAATCATTGCATAAAATTCGATATATCTCAAGATACGTAGATCCCTCAAAACTTATGGCATATTTAAACGTCATTGTGTCGACGTTATGAATTTTTAACCTAAGAATCATAGATTATACTCAGAATCCAGTTATCTAACTTCCTCAGCCGAACAAGTTAATTCGGAACTATCTGTAGAAAACATAATCATATCTGACCTATTAAAGTTGTAAATGTAACTCAGAGCCATAACACTTTTCTGTCTATGCCATACCTACACACATTACCACTACGCATTTTTTTCGACATTTCCGTGTGTAACCCACTTGATTTTTTACAGTTGTCA